GCCCCCATCTCTCCCAGCCCTGCTGGTGCCCCTCACTCCTGACCCACAGTTCCCTGCCCCCCAGGACCCCTCACTTGCAACCTGCAGCCCCCCACCCCTGCCCACCTTTCCGCAGGTGCTGCCCCTTGGAGTGCTCCAGGTAAGTGTTGGGGATCTGTGAGTAGTTGGCCATCTTGTTGCCCCGCACAGTCTGGAACGAGCTGTTCTCCACCATGGCCACCACTTGCTGCTCGCTCAGCTCCGCGCCCAGGAAGCCGCAGATCCTGCCCATGCTGCCCCGGGGGTCCTGGGGACACAGCACAGCTCAGGGCGGGGGGCTGCGGGTTGGGAGTGAGGGGCACTGGCAGGGCTGGGGGGCCAGGGGTGTGGGTCAGAAGTGAGGGGCCCCACCCGGTGCAGCTCCTCGTAGATGACGGTGAGGACGCTGTCCCGGCCCCGCAGGCACAGCTACCCAGCAACGTGGTCAGCCCAGGACCCAGAGGGCACAGCGGGGAGACGGCGGCTGACGGGACCCCCCAGGCCCAGAGCCCGGATGCCTGGGTTCCCTCCCCACCTCTGGGAAGGTTCCAGGGAGCAGAGCTCTATTCGGCCCTGACACCCACCACCTACTGGCTCCTAAATCTCAGAAGAAGGAGCTCTGACTTTCCTGGGTGGCAGCTATGAATGGACCTATCACCCCTGGGTGTATCCCATGGGGAGCAATGGGTCCTGGGTCCCTTGGGCCTCCTCCTTAGGACATCCTGAACCTCACTGCTTGCCCCCATGGGTCCTCCTCCCCTGTCCATCTCCCCTGGCACCTTCCCGGGCCCTTTCCTGGCCCTCCTCCAGCCTCGCTGAGCCATGGGGCCCAGGACCCTGACTAGAGCCCCCTGCCATGTGGTGCCCCTCACTCCCGCCCCGCAGCCCCCGGCCCCCCAGCCCCTTTCCTAACCCTGCTCCAGCCTTGCTGAACCACAGGACCCAGGTTGAGATGCAGGCACCAGACCTCACAGGGTTCAGGAAACAAGCACTTGTGGGGTGCCATCACAGCAGGAGGCTGCTGCAATTCTCTTAATGAAGCCCAATGTTTTTTGTGGGGGTGTGTTTTTGTGGGGTGCAGCTCACCCAGATGACGTTTGCAGGAACACCTCCACTAGCGAGGCCAGGCCCAGTCCTACAGTGGGAAGCATTGTGATGCCCCTTGATGCATGCACTGGGCATCTGCGCCTGCAAGGCTGCACCCAGGTCTGATCCCAGCATCTCCAAGGGGACAGATCCAGAAAAGGGCAGGAAGGAGGAGGATGGGCAGGGTGAAGCGACTGCAGGAGGAGAAACTGAGGCCAGCCCCGGTGGGACAAGAAGAGAGACGCTGGAGGGAGGCAGGAGCCAGGCTTGCAACAAAGAGAAAGAGAAAGTCTCCGGGGATTTATTATCACCTGGCCCTCAAGGACGAGGTCAGTTGATAACAGGTGCCAGGCACGTCTTTGTTGCCCGGCGTGGAAGGAAAGACCGGGACTCGGGATGGCCAGATGTGGGGGTGCCGGGAGTGGAGCCAGATGCACCGAGGGACTGGACCTGTTCTGGGGGTACATGGGTACCAGGGGTTATGGCAGGGTGGGGAGCTGTGGGGGTGGGCAGTGGGTCCCCCTGCTACTGGGGGCCGTGGGGCATAGGGTACCTGGAGTGGTGCTTCCCCAGGGTGGAAAGGGCTGGACGGGGGGGGGCGGGGGAGCTTGATGTCACTTCCACTCACACACTCGTGTACATACTAACATGCTCATATACACACTGACACACTCACATACACAGACCACACACACACTCACTCCCAGACACACTGTCACAGACACACACACTGTCACACATGCACACACGCACACTCATGCACACACATACGCTCACACATGCATTCACATACACAGTCACACACTCTGCATTCACATGCTCACTCACAGACTCTCATGCATGTGCACACACACTCACGCACACACACTCCATTCATATAGTCACTCACACTCACCCCCTCTCATGCTCTCACACATACATACATGCATGCTCACACACACACTATATACTCACATGCTCACTTACACTTTTGCACCCACACATTGACACACAGTCACACACACCCCCTCTCAACAGTCACACACATTCACACATACTTTCACTCACACTCAGGCACACACACAGTCATACACACACACATAGTCATACACACTAGCCACATTTGCACACATACTTTCACTCTTGCACATACACACCCTCTCACAGGTATACACACACACTCTTGCACGCATGCGCACACACACATGCACCCCCCTCCCCCCATGTCCATTGCAGAGACAGGGCCTGGGAACAGGATCCGTCTGCACTGAGGTACCTACAGACAGAGAGTAGGTGGGGGGTGCTGATCCAACCCCCCCAGCTATGCCCTGGACCCCGTGGGTGCTACAGGCCAGATGTGGCACCAGGGAGGGAACATCCTGGCCTGGCTCCTCCCTGGTGGCTCCCCGTGCATTTGGGGGGGGCAGAGTGACGGCCAATATTGACCCACGTGGGGCAGCACCCACGGGGGAGCCAGACGCCTGGGTTCTCTGCAGCTGGGGGAGGCGGGGAAGCTGGGAGCACACCTGCACATGCACACGCATGTGCACACTTACACATGCCTGGCGTGCACCCCAGCTGCAGCGTCTGGGGGCTTTGCCAACTCCCTGTGGCATTCTCTTAGTTGCCTCGGTCCTCCACGGCTGGGGCTGGGGTAGCCAGTGGCCTCTGCACTCAAGTCACTTGGTCTCCCTGATGCTGCCTGTCGCTGGCTTGGTGCCCATCTTGCCATCTCCCCCGGCTTCACAGTCCGGAGTGGCCTCTGGGGACCTCTGAGCATCGCTGCCAGCCTCCAGCCTCGTGCCTGGCACGTTGGTACCACTCAGATCCCAGTGGCCTGGTGGGAACAGAGGGTAATGGGTGGAGAGTCAGGCTGTGGGGGCCCGGGACCTGTCCCGAGCTGCGCTAGGCCTCAGCCTGGCCCCCTCCACCCCAAAGTGGATCAGAGGGAGGATCCTCTCCCCATGGCCATAGATACCTTCTCGCCTCTTCCTCCAGCCGTACAGGAGAACCGCGGCCGTCGGCCCCACGGCTGCCACAACCCCCAGGGCAGCTCCAAATACCACCTCGTTCTCACCAGTGCCTGCATGGGGGTGGGGGGAAGACAAGGGGCAGGTTTGGGGGCTCCAGGCAGACCCAAAATCCCACCCGGGCACCTTATTGATCCATGTGTCGGGGGGTTTAAGCCTCTCCCGAGGTGCTGGGTGCAGCCTGGGCTGGGGATGGGGACTGGGCTGGGCCAATGCTCCTTCTAGCACCCGCCCCGCAGGGTCCTGGCTGGAGGGTCTTGCCCCTGTGCTCAGACTCAGACCGATGCCAGATTTGGGGTCAGGAAAGGATTTTACCTCCCGGTCAGATTTGGTCAACTGGGGGCAGGGGTTGCCTTCCACAGTAGCAGGGGCACAGCCTCCACCTGGGGTCTCTGAAGCGTACATTAACAACCTTGTACTGCAACAGGACATTGGTGGCCGCGGGACCCCTGGTTTTCCTGGGGCAGGTTTGAGGCAGGTAGGGGTGTGATGTCAGGTGTCGTGCCAGGGCTGACGATAGTTTTAGGAAGAGTTTAGATGCTGGATGTGTCTGGGGTGGTTTGGACAGGGCTGGTCAGACTAGATATGACCTCTCAGGGTCTCTTCCAGCCCTGTGCGTCTATGAAATCTATGAAGGGAGGGAGCCTTTTCTTTCCTGACTCTGCCTGAAGTTGCCACCAAAGGGAGATTTTTATTCTTTTTTTGCAAAAAAGTGAAATATGTGTGTGCGCGTGCATAGGTGTGCATATATATGTGTGTGTTTGTATGCATGCATGTATGTGTGTGCATCTGTGTGCCTTAGGTGCATGTATGCATGGGGATGTATGCATGTATGTGTATGGGTGTGTGCATCTGTGTGCATGCTTGTGTGTGTGTGTGTTACGTGTTTGTATGAGTGCATGTGTGTATATGTATATAGATGTGTGTTTGCATGTGTGTGTGTGTGTGTATATATGTATGTGTGCATGTGTGTGCATATGTGTGTAAAGGTGTTTTGTATGTGTATGCATGTGTGCATATATGTGTGTATTGTGTGCATATGTGTGTAGGTGTTTTGTGTGTGTGTGCGCACGCATGTGTATGTATATGTGTATGTGCGCACATGTGTTTGGGTGCACCTGCGAATGTATGTGTGTAAATATGTGCATATGTTTTTCTGTGTGTATGTGTATATGTGCGGATGTGCATACGTGTGTGTGTGTGTGTGTGTGTGTGTGTGTGTGCGCGCGCGTTTGTGTGTGTGGTATCAGGGCTTGTCCAGGGGAACGTGGTCATGATCATGGCCAGTGTGTGGGGTGGGGAGGGTCTCACCTGTGACGGGCAGGGGTAGCTCCACTTGTAAGGCCTCCCCCAGCGCCTGGTGCCGCACGCGGCAGGAGAAGATGCCGCCCATGCTGTCTGCGCTCGGGGCGAAGGCATAGCTTAGTGAGAGGTTGTAGGTGCCATCGGGGCTCTGCTGGGGGGTGGTGCGGCCTGAGCTGTCCAGGAGCTGCCCATCCCGCAGCCAGGCCACATCCACAGCTGCTGGGTAGAAGCCCCTGATGTGGCACTCGAGGGCAGTCTCTGCACTGCCTATGCGCTGGGCCACGGACACCCTCGGAGCAGCTGCAGGGCATGGAGGGGTTGGATCCATGGTGCCGGGGGTCTCCCCCAGTCCCCTCCCTGCCAGGACCCACTGGCGACCCTCACCGAGCACGCGGAGGCTGGTGTTGCCCTGCTGCTTCTCTGCCCCATAACCCACAACACACGTGTACAGCCCCTCGTCCGCCAGCGTCACTCCGGCCAGTACCAGCGAGGCGTCTCCACTCTCCAACACCGTCTCCGCCAGACTGGCCCCAGGCCGGGCTTGGCCCCCACCCGGGTTGTAGCTTGCGATCCTCTGGGCCTCAAGACACCAGGTCACCCACAGGGAGCTCAAGGCCACCGGTCCCCCGACGTCGAACCAGCATTGCAGCCGGGCGCTGGTGCCCAGCAGGGCCTGGGAGACGGGTGCCGTGAGCACCTGCAGCCGGGATCCTGCATGGGGTGAGAGACACCCGGCCAGGGCCCAATGCCCAGTTGCAACCCAGCTTGGTATGACCAGGCTGCTCCAATGCCCCTTCCAGCATGGAACAAGCCCCCAAATCCTGGCTCTTCTGTTTGGGGTCAGCCATGAGGTGTCTTGGCTCCATGCCCCACTCCTCCCCAGCTCCTCTCAAAGTCCAGGCTGGCCTCCACAAACTCAGGGGCCACCCGGGCTGGCAGAGGCTGGCTTGCCAATGCCCAGAGTATGGGATATAGGGGGGTTGGGATACAGGGGAGATCTGAACTTACCGTCCACCCCCAGGAAGAGGAGGGGGAAGAGGAGGAGAGTCGCCAGCCCCATGGACCCACCACCCATCTGTCTGTCTGTTGGCTCTCACCCAGGCAAGAGAAGGGCAAACCTGAGAGTGTTGCTATTTATATGGCCCTGCAGCTGTTACAGCATCGGGGGGGCAGGGAGGAAGAGCCTTGCGCCTAGTAGGCGGACTGTAGTCCAGCCGAACCATCCTTAATCCAGCTCAGATGGGCTCAGCTAGACCAGCGGGGCTCCGTAATGCACCAGATTTCACCTCATTTGTGGCTACATTAGCTCAAAACTCCTGGAGAACAACACTGGAGAGCCCTTCGCTTCTCTTAACGTCCCCTGGGGATGGCTTTTGTCCTGCTCCACCGGACCTGGGTGCTTCTGGTTTGCAAGATCTCTTGGTTGGTTTTGCTGGCCACGAAGAAACAAAGAACCGTGTGAACAAATTGGGTGTTTGTTACAACCGAACCGTGATGTGGGACAAATCTCTCCCCCCTCTCCCCCCCAGATTATACGCTAAGGATGTAAAAACTGTCATTCCCTGGGTCAGGCCCTAGGTCCATCTTCCCCAGCTCCCAAGTCCCAAAACAGCAGTGTGTGGAGGCTGGAAGGGAGGGGTCTGAGATGGGTTGTTTCTCCTTGTTCCTCTCTCCTTGCAGCCTCCAGCATTTAGGGTCTATACACACACACAAATACACACAGATTATAAAGGTAAAATTAGTATGTGTTGCAACACACTAAGAATGAAAAACAATGACAAAAAGTCAATATACACACATACACACACATGCATACATTTATATGTGCGTACACACACACATGAATGCATACATGCATACACACTCACACACGCACACACATACATACATACATGCATACATATATACACGCACACAAACTGTGCAGGTAAAATTAATATTTGTTGCAACACACCAAGAATGTAAAACAATGACAAGAAGTCTACACACACACACACACACACACACACACACACACCTCTGTTAGTGTAGATGTTGGACAACAGAATATATATTAAGTATCGAATTAAAAAAACAAACAAATCCTACATGGTACCAGTGCATGTGCAGGTTTTGTGTACACACACACAGATGCATTTGTCTGAGAAAAAATAGGAGGCATTACTTTCTGACTGACTCTTCAACAACACACGCACACATAGACACATATACAGACATGTATACATGTACACACATACATATATACATGTTTACATGCATATGTACACAAACACATATACACACATATATTTATACACACACATATATACACATACATACACACAAACATACACCCACACTTAACATTCCTGCAAAAAAGAATAAGTCCCCCACCCTTTGTTGGCAAATTCAGGCAGAGTCAGGAGTGAGGAAAGAAAAGTTTCCTCACTTCAACCCTTCAGGGATTTCACAGAGCCGTGGGACTGGAAGGGACCTCTGAAGGTCACGTCTAGTCCAGCCCCTGCCCAAGGCAGGATGAGCCCTGTCCAAACCACCCCAGACAAACCCACTATCCGACCTCTTAGTACAACTACCGCCAGCCCTGACACAACACAGACATTGCACCGGCAGCCCCCGTAGCCTCAAAGGCATCGCTCCATCTTCTGGCTTGCGCACTCCTCTCCAAGGGCCCTGCTACACGTGCACATGAAAGCCTGATAGAAACTGGCTCTAGACCTGTCACCCATTTCCCAGTGCTACCTTTGTAGCTGCTTGGTTCTTTTTGTGGCTGGATGGCCATTTCGATGGTGTAGTAATTACTTTGGACCTGTGGCTAGTCTTAAATTTATTGCGTGATTCACCCATCAACCACGTAGTATATGCAATGTGTAGCAGAGGCCCAAGGCACTGGACCCGTAGGCCAGCTGGGCGCCCCTCATCTCTATGGACCACGTCCGTGCACACGGATTATAACATCTGGGGTTCATTCACCTGCTCCTCTAGTGATGTGCTACATGTCATTGCCAGCTCACAGCACCCTTTGGCTGTCTGCATGGGGCAGGTGGGGGGGATCCATGTGTTTGGGAATGAACATGGAGCTAACATCAGTTCCAGAAGGACACGCAAGCCTGTGGCAGACCTGGACCTCCTTGCACTGACTTCAGGGCGGCTGTTCTGAGATGCCAAAACCCTGAAACCAATTTAGATGGGAAATTGTAGGGTAAGACGTGACCTCTCCAACCGGACTGGGTCAGGTGTGGTCCGAACATGGGCTGCGGGTTCTTATCCTGTCACCTGGATTTGCCCCTACAACTCCCCTCACTCCTTCGGTGGGTGACCTGCTTTATTCATCTCTGCTGCCCACCGTGGTCTCTACCCATGGTGCCCCCTCTTTCTTCCTTCCCCTTCCATTTCTAAGCACCACTGCCTGGAGAGGGATGCCAGCCTCGACCCTTTTCAAGGGCTTAGACCAAGCTGCAGAAACAGAAGGCCCAAAAACCTGTTTCTGAGCGTCCGTAGCCTGAACCTTTGCAAATGTGGCAACCAGCTTGTTCAGCAAACCACAGGAATCCATTCCCAGGTCTAACTAAACACAAAGCCTAAAAGGGGACATAATAAGGAAAGACCATACATTCAGTTACCTAAACACACCAGAGCATAGCTTTACCTTGAACGACTGGCAGTAGCGATTGATGTAACCCAACACATTCAGTGTATATTTGCTTCTATTAGATGTATATTTTGCTTAGTACTTTGAAACTTCACGCTGACAAGAAGCTGAATAGGAGCCAACAATAAGTTGAATAGGAGCCAATAATGTGCCCTTGTTGTCAAGAAGGCGAAGGGCATCCTGGGCTGCATTAGTAGAAGTGTTGCCAGCAGATTGAGGGAAGTGATTATTCCCCTTTATTCGACACTGGGGAGTCCACATCTGGAGTCCTGTGCCCAGTTTTGGGCCCCTCAGTAGAGAAAGGATGTGGACACATTAGAGAATCCAGCAACAAAAAAGGTTTGGGGGCTGGGGCACATGACGGATGAGGAGAGGCTGAGGGAACTGGGCTCATTGAGTCTGGAGGAGAGAAGACTGAGGGGGGGATTTATTAGCAGTCTGAAGTGGGGCTGCAAAGACGACGGAGCTGGGCTGTTCTCAGTGGTGGCAGATAACAGGACAAGGAGCAATGGGCTCAAGTTGCAGCAAGGGAAGTTGAGGTTGGATATTAGGAAAAACTGTCTCAGGAGGAGGGTAGTAATGCACTGGAACAGGTCCCCAGAGAGGTAGTGGAGTCTCCATCCTTGGAGGTTTTGAACACCTGGCTGGACAAAGCTTTGGCTGGGATGACGTAGTTGGGGCTGGTCCTGCTTTGAGCAGGGGGTTGGACTAGATGCGACCTCCCGAGGTCCCTTTCAATCCTCACTTTCTATGGTTCTATGACAACAGGAGATGGAATAATAAATTAATGCTTAATTTATTTGAATAAAATTAACCTCGTCAGAGAAAACCACAAATGAAGATAAGGTAGAAACAGGCTGTGGCTGAATGGTATTTCACAACAGAGAAGGAAATGAGGTAAGAAACCCTCCCTTTCACTTTCCCTGAGGCTATAAATCCCAACAAATTAACACCTTCCAAGTCCACAAGAAATTCTGTTCAGTCCAAGGCCAAATGTTGTAGTGAAACCAAGACATTTAAATAAAACCAATCAGAGAACCTTAATTAGACTATTCAAAGCAGCCACATGCGACTAACCTAGTGAAACAGTGACTTTTGCCACCATTTCGTGACTTATATCCAAGCAACGCATAAGGGATACAAGTGCCCTTATAAATCAAGGGCATATGCTGGGGGAGACAATTTGGAAAGCTCAGCAAATTCAAGACCTGCTGTTAATCCATGTGCTCTCGAGTCTCCCAAGCCGGGATGGGTGGGAATCTACAGTGTGCTATTGTGGGTAGCCAAACCTGTTTCTACCACTTTACTTAGTAGCCTGACCCCGCGGTTAGCTGTACTTTGGGTGGCATTGGCTGCTTTGCACTCGCAGCACTGGATGAAGCCAGCCGTGGCTTATGAAAGCACTTTCGTAAATCTACAAGGTGCAAACCTCCCCCCAGCTCCATCTTGACCTGCTAGCTCAGGCTCAGTCCCTGGCTCTGTAGCTGCAAGCCTCCCAGGGTGCTTGTACACATGACACCAGGGGCAGG